ATAGTGGCAGATAGCAGGCACACTGGACAGACAGGCCAGATCTGTGACAAGGAAGATTTAGAAAGAGCCTCAGCCATCAGCTGGCCTGTTGTTGGAGAATCATTGGGTGATCCTGGGTTCTTGTGTTATGTGAAAATAACACTTCCTTGTTCACTTTCTCCACACCAGTCATGATATTATAGACCTCTGTCATATCCCCCCTTAGTCATCTCTTTTCCAACCTGAACAGTCCCAGTCTTTTTACTCTCTTCTCATATGGAAGCTGTTCCATACAGCTAACGTTCTAATCATTTTTGTTGCCCTTTTCTGTACCTTTTCCAATTCTAATATATCTTTTTTGAGATGGGGCCACCAGAACTGCATGCAGTATTCAAGGTGTGGGCGTACCATGGATTTATGTAGTGGAATTATGACATTTTCTGTGATTGTCTATCCCTTTCCTAATGGTTCCTAACATTCTGTTTGCTCTTTTGACTGATGCTGCACATTGAGCAGATATTTTCAGAGAACTATCCACAATGATTCCAAGGTTTTTCTTGAGTGATCATTTTGTATCTATAGCTCAGATTATTTTTTTCCGATGTTTATTTTCCGATGTGCATTACTTTTCACTTCTCAGCATTGCAAATGGGAGACTTATTCAAAGATCACCACCTTGAAGGACTATGAGGCCTAATAGGTCGCAATGGGAGGGCAGTAAAGGCCATGTTCCTGTTGTGCATTAGGTATGAATAACCTGTGGCCTCAGCAAATTCTGGCACAAAATATACAACAACAACAAAAATCCTTGAATGGAAAGGTGTAGCAACCTGCATGGAACTTGCAGGGGGGAACACAGGTTATTGGAGAGAAGAGTTTAGAGGAGGCACCAGAAAGCGAGTGTGTGTACATGTGCTTTGAATGCTTACTGCAGCTGGAGCACCTCTGTAAATAGTTCTTTTTAATAAAGAGACAGTTTAGCTTTAGCAATATGGAGTACTCTCATGTTATTATCTAGCCTGCAGAGCATGAAACAGCATAACTTAGCTACATAGTGAATGGGCATAGACTGTGTAATGTGTTATCTTGCTGAATAGAACATGTAGCAGTATTTGCAATGACCTTCCTGTCTTGGTTCACTCATGGGTGAATGGAAGCTACTTGGTTTTAAAATGTGTTTCTTGTATCTGTCTATAACTACCTGTCAGAGAACATACTCAAAATGCACACGAACCCTTTGGGCATTAGTGGCACACTTAGCATTTTAACACAGCATGGAAGGCATTTTAGGAAACCAGGAGGTAAGTCATGCTACGGTGTATTAAAGTAAGGTAGGGGACATTCTGTCTGTGACCCAGTTTTGGAAGTAAAATGTGTGATTCTCTTCTAGTTCCCTGCAGATAGGGCCTGATAAAAGCTCTTTCAGGGGAATCTTTTCATTGACTTCAGTGGGTTTTGGATCCCTTAGTTCAGTGGTTTTCAAACTGGGGTAGGCGAGAAAAATCCTGTAATGGCGGACAATGCATTTTATTTAGTAAGACTGGGCAATCTAATCATAGGTATATTATGACTCTATCTCAGATGGGGGAACATGGTAGGCTACGTTATCTGGAAAGGGGTATGCAGCCAAAAAAGTTTGAAAAACACTGCCTTAGTTCATGTCCACAAACTGTTAGAAAGAAATACTTTGACTCTAGATCCAGGAATCACTTATGTACCAGAACCAGAGGAATAGAAACACACACGGGACAGGAGGTGTGAAGAATCTCTCCTTGCACAGCAACTGCCTGTGTGGTTGTGGTGCTGACCTGTGTGCAGAGCCTGAGAACCCAGCCATGTTTCTATTTACAAATGCTGGTCCAGGGGACGGGAGGAGAGAGTGTGTGGAGGGGTGTAAACGTTGCTGATTCGGAGAGGTAATTCAGCCAATATGGCAGACTGGGAGCAGGATCCAGCATCTGGATGGGCCTAGAGCTGCTAATGGAGCAAAAGAGAGAACTCTGCAGTGAAGACCTTTGCTGCCATGTAACTTATTCAGTGATAGAGCTATAGCAAGTACAGTAATGCTGTGAATGTCTATGTGATCACTGAAAATAGAAAAGAGCTGCATGATACTTGGAGGCATGTAGTGGTGTCCTTACGGTTTATGTGCTAGGATCAGCACGATGAAGCTATGTGGGATGTAGTTTCTCTCTCTTGTTATGTAGGAGCAGCATGCTGCTGATGGTTTTTAGAGAACCATAGCTTTCTTTTAGACAAAATGTTCAAAAATTAGATCAACCACAATAAGCACAAGTAAATTTACTCTCCCGTTCCCTAAATCAAAGAATACCTCACAATGTGGGAAAGTAATAAGACATTATTATTTAGGGACAATTAATGTAGCTATCAAGACAGGCTGATTTGTAATACATGGTAGCATATTACTATGAAACATAATATTGTGTGGGTGATGGAAAGCTTATAACAGACCATGTTGCTAGGGCACTAAGTTATAATGATAGATCCCAAAACACATCCTCTTTTTTCCTGAGAAGTGCTCATCCAGCCAGAGGTACACTGCACCACCTCTCACGGCTGGCTGTTAATCCAGAATGTGTGTATGTGAGAACCCTTCATATGTAATTAATTAAAAAGAGACCTTTTCTATGGTGTTTCTACATGAAAAAATCTGTTATGAAGAGCATATACAAGTTGTTGAGGGCCGTAAAAGCAAAGAGATGCATAATCTGGTTCCTATGTAAAGTATGTCTCTGTAAATATGTAAATATATAGAGCTGAATGGGAACTAGATGTCCTGGAAGTGATTAGTAGCAGATTACAAATAGAGTGCACAAGAAACATATCTCTTCTGACAGCAGTGGGAGGAATGGAAATGGAAATGTCAGAGTCAAAAAGAAAAAAACAGTCTCTTTCTTTTGAGTATGCTTAGTTGGGTGAGTATTTTGTCATTACTGAGAGGATGTGGAACAGGGAAATATGTCTCTTTGCTCTACCAAAATCAAGGGCTATTGCCAAAGACAAGAGTTTGAATTGCACATGGTGCCCCTAGATGCTTGGCTCTAAGTCACGCAAAGGCCTTATAAAAACTGAACAATAGAATCTATTCAAAAGTACTGTAGCCATATACACAGACCTGTTAATTAAACAAGACTAACTAGCATTTGTTTCGTTCTGTTGGTTTGGCCATCAGTAAACAAAAGCTAATTTATTTTAAAAATCTGGGACCAGATTCTGTCGTGCCCTGAGATCTGCTTGGTGCAGTAAAGTGGGAATGCATCAGTTTACAACTCCCTGAATGGTGAACATCAGTGGTTCCAGTCCTGGCTCCAGATTAACTCAGAGCACTGTATTACACTGCTCCATAGAGACATCATGGGGGTAGTGGGCAGGGAAGGGAGAAAACATATATTTAGTTAAAATCAGTTTAGTCTAATAAGAGACCACAAATGCTAAAATGTTTTAATTATAATTGTGATTTTTTTGCATTGTGTCACTACAGAGCAGAGTTAAGATTGTTTAGGTGCCCTAACTGTGCATCTCTATTCCTTAATAGGTTGGCATTTCATTTAACCTTAACTGAATTTTCTGGGTTTATAATGCTTGATTCTGGGATAATTACAACACAGATAACATTTTTTGCTGTTGATTCCTGATCTGTACTCAACCTTAATTCCCTCATAACTCATTTTTTGTCTGGGAATTTACATTAAGGTTGAAGGTTACATTAAGGCATATTGAGCCAAACTCATACCTTGTATAATTCTGTTTTCTTCCGGGGAGTTATTCCAGCGATCATTTTGGCCCCTGTGTATACAAAAGGATACCGGTAGTGTTTCTATTAAGAATAATACAATGCCTGCAACATAAATTTGGTTTGGGATACTTTGCATTCTTGAAATTTGAAATAACAATGTTTTTCTTAGTTCAATACAACTGCTACATACTTTATTACAAACATTTCCAATGTGTGGCTCAAGCCATAGCATTCATAATCAGATTTCCATTTAAAATTTTCCAAAGTGTGTATGTGTTGGAAAAGGGGAGATGTTTGGATACAGGATTTTGGTTCTGATTTATCTCTAATTTCAAGAAGGGCAATAGTAAAAATAAACAAAATGTTGCATATGAAGAAAATTTGTTTTTGGTGACAAACCAGGGTGCTCAAAATAGATAAACAGAAATTGGGTTAGATACAAAAAAGAGCTTCACTTATTTGTATTACCTCTTGCATTCTGGAAGTTCAAATGCCCCTCTTTATACCTCCATTTACCTGTTTTGAAATAGAGCTCATATGCATGCTAGAAGTATGTTTTTAACTAAATTCAATAATCTTTGTAAGTGATTTGAGTTTTCAAATGGACAGTGGCATCAAATTGCAAAGTCTTATTGTGCCTGCAAAAACCTGTATGTGTGCACTCCTTCAGTCCTAAAGTATATGAACAGTCCCACTTAATGTACAAATCCTCATCTTGCTCATCCAAATGTGCGGTTTCATGCTGCCTCCCTTGAAAATGTGGCTCGTTGTGATCTTGGAACACTGTTTATACTACATTTGAATGTAAGCTGCATACAGTTTCAGTGCATTGCAGTCTGCAAAATTGCAATTCCAGTTATAGTAATTTCCACTTAGTAGGGTCTGATCTTGCGCCCTGTGCTCAGGTTAATCTCCCATTGAAGTCAATGGAAGATTTGCTCCAAGTGATTTCGGTGGGAGATTTGCCTGAATAAGGTGTGCAAGGAGTCAGCCTCTATGGTGAAGCTACTCTGTGGGAGAAGGAAAAAAATTCAGCAATATAAGAATTATACGTATAAGGGAGACAAATTGGTTAATTGGACAACACTCTGAATGAGGAAAATGAGAAAATCAAATTATAAGGGTGAAACTATAGAAATGTACAGTGTATAATGTGGTTGATCCAATGGGGACCGCTTAAGTTTTCTCCTCCTGTAATACTTTTGGACATGTAATTTAATATGTGTAAGTAATTTATAAATAGCCCAAGTTGTTTGTAATGTAGGCTTTGGGAACATCTCGCCACGTACAGAAGGTGGAAAGATATTCTGTATCATCTATGCCTTATTGGGAATTCCTCTGTTTGGTTTTCTGTTGGCTGGAGTTGGAGATCAACTCGGGACCATATTTGGAAAAGGAATTGCCAAAGTAGAAGATACATTTGTTGTAAGTATGCTAAATATATTGTCCTAAATGTTACTCCTCACTTTAAAATTAAGTAAAAATACAGTAAACTTTTTAAAGAGAATAATGCATTGAGTCATTGTTAATGTCTGGCAAAAGGTGTGTTGAAGGTTACTGTAAGTACATGTTATCCAACACTGTTGATAGAGAACGGGGTGAAGTTCAACATATACATTCAGATTCAGTTTCCTAAAATAATTATGACTGGGAAGAGAAATTGGATCCAAATCAATCAACTTATCTTTTTTATTTTCCTTTAAAATATTCTAGAGCAGCAGCAGTTTGTTTCAAAAAATTATAGTATTGCACTATAGTAAGAAATCACTGACACAGAAATGTGGCTGAATGAGATTACTTTAGATAATATAGGGGAATCGGTGCAGGCGCTTTGAGATTTATGGTAAATCATAGATAAAGCATACACTGATATTATAGGCAGTGTTCAAAGTGAGCAGGAAGTGAACTCTTGGACTTCCTTGCTACACCTTCTAGTGGGCCCTTCTGTTGCCTTTCCATTCCCCATTCTGTATTGAGATCTTGCTCTCCTTCTACAGCCCCCACAGCACAGGAAGTGATCGCTGGACTCTCCTCTTCTCCAGCACTTCCCCTGAACTAAAACAAGCATCCTTCTGTTTAATTTTAAAAAGCAGGGGGTCGGAAAGAATATAGTCTTTAAAAGAAAGACTCTCTATAAAGAAAACAGAACTTGAGAGAGATTAGAGGGTTTTAGTTGGCCAGTGCTCTCTTCTGCTTCATTATAAGTGTGACTACATGGGGTAAGCATGCGCAAGTGGCAGTACGCAAAAATTGTGCTTACACATACACAAGAATCCATTTGAAATGGAGTCCCATTGCCTGTTCTATACACTTATTTTTCTGAGCCTATAATGGCTTTATCCCACGGATTGCCATAAAACAGATATCTAAAAGGACACTAGCAACTTAACTTTCAGAGTATGGTTTTTTTTTTAAATTTGTACTACTCTGTTGTTACAAGTAAGACCTACAATTCATGTAACTGTTTAGAAAAAAAAATTCTCCTTTTATTTCATTTTTTTCATGTGTATTTGATAGCTCTTGGCTTCAGTGTTTCTTGGCATAGTTGAAGCCTGAGTCCTACTTATGACACCATCAGGTGTTCTGCTGAGGTCAATGGGATTGTTCACGTGTGAAGTTACTCACATACATAAGTCTTCGAAGGCTGAGCAAGTGGCCCCTGTTCGAGTTGGTCTTTAATCTACAGTAGAAATAGGGCAGAGAAAAACATCTTTTCAGAACAGGACAGTGTAATTGTAAAAGTACAAAAATTGCCCCGGGGGAACTTAGGAGCAAGTTGCCAACCCCAAACATTCAAAAATCAATGAGTCAGGGCCCTCTAGGATTGCAATTTTTAGAAAAGTACTTTCGGGTTTCTTTTTATTGGCTTTCTGGTTTTTGAGCCTTTAGGTGCACCGAGGTCACACTTTCATGCTTATCTTTGCAGCCATGAGGGGTGGACACTTTAAAAACATAAAATGAAACCTGAGATTCTTACATATTCACAGGAATTCAGCAGCCAGGACTGAAAGAGAAACACCAATGGTTGCAAGAATTGCAATAAAAATTTGAAAGTTGGCAAAACTGCTCCTTTTAAAGACACTGTAGTAGGGACTGTCACATGGAAACCTCCCCATTCCTACCTGACGCCCACCACAATGAGTCTCGCCCCCCACACTTGTTGCTGGATCTGGAAAAACAGGAGCAGAGGCAGAAAGAAGCATGTGCAGACAGCTGCATACTCTGCCTCTGCCTAGTTAAATCTACAGAAGCGTGTATTTCCTCCTCCGTGTCGCCTCTCTCTGTGGCTGCCTGTTGTGCTGTAGGGCCAGAAGTCCCTCAGTTGCATCTAAATCTACTTCAGCCTCCAGTGGCTAAAGCAGTTACAGCTACAACCCGAGCACTGGTTGTCCCAGTGGCAGCAGGTGGTACAGTACCTGTCATATTACATTTTTAAATACATGTTTATTTAGCAGCCTTAATTTGCAGTGCAATTTCCTGTTGTTTGTACCAGCACTGCAACTGTTGTAGGTTCAAAGGGACCAATTCTGTGCAGCATGCCATATTGTTTGCCTATTTTCCTTTATAGTAGGAACTGTCTGCTAGCATGGTTGCTTTTGAGATTCTCACAGTGCAGAACGGTGTTATGCCAGACAGTTTCATCCACCAAGCAAATGCTGGCTTTAAGACAAGTGAGAAGAAAAGGCTCAGGGTACTGACTTTCAGCTCAAAACCACCATTTCAAACCCAGCTGGATCATTGGCAACCAAGAGCCATTTGCATCTAGAGTTGGCTGAAAAAATGGAAAGAAAACATCACGAGGTGTTTTGATCATTCGTTACTACTTCTCTTCAGAAATCAAAATTTTCATGAAAATTTTTGTTGAAAAATTCAGATTCTGGAAAGTTTTGACCAGCTCTATTTGCATTTATTGGCTAATTGTCTCCCTGTGTGGAAAATAGCTTAATTCATTTCCTAACAGATAGGTATTGTGACAGGGTCGGGCCAGATAGCTACAGGAGAGTAATAGAAGGCAGATATAGTAGCCCCAGGTTAAGTAGGTCCCTTTTCCCTGGGTAAGGTAACAGACAAGGTTCCAGAACAATCAGGAACCTTCTGGAGACAATTAAGGCAGACAGGCTGATTTGAACACCTGCAGCCAATCAAGAAGCTGCTAGAACTAATTAAGGCAGGCTAATCAGGGCACCTGGGTTTTAAAAAGGAGCTCACTTCAGTTTGTGGTGTGCGTGTGAGGAGCTGGGAGCAAGAGGTACTAGGAGCTGAGAGTGAGAATGCGGACTGTTGGAGGACTGAGGTGTACAAGCATTATCAGACACCAGGAGGAAGGTCCTACAGTGAGGATAAAGAAGGTGTTGGGAGGAAGCCATGGGGAAGTAGCCCAGGGAGTTGTAGGTGTCGCACAGCTGTTCCAGGAGGCACTCTAGACAGCTGCATTCCACAGGGCCCAGGGCTGGAACCCGGAGTAGAGGGCGGGCCTGGGTTCCCCCCAAACCTCCCAACTCCTGGTCAGACATAGGAGGAGTTGACCTGGACTGTGGATTCGTGAAAACGGCCAAACTGAGGGCTGCTGTGAAGCTCCAAGGCAAGCAAATCCACCAATAAGCACAAGACCCACCATGGTAGAGGAGGAAATTTGTCACAGTATCCATATTTTAAAACTGATTAGCAATTTGCTCCCTTGTTGGCAGTCTCTGCAGGTTTGATTTCCATAGTCAGACACTGAATGGCTCTCTCACTCGTAGAGGTGATTTTCCCCTCCCACTCCCCACCAGCAAAATAAAATAAAAATTGAGTCACATCATAGGAGATTTTACATCACCACAGCCTGTGCTTCCTGGTTTTGAATGATAAAAGCTTGGCTTTGGTCTTGATGACTGTCTGGACTAGCTTTCACAAGCACTAAACTAGTTAAAAATAATGTAAGGAAAGGTCAATCAGGAACCAGTTAAGCTCTTTTCTGAGCTCCTTTATTGTCTCTACAATAGGCCAGATTTTAAGAAAGTCTCAAATTTTGTGGGTACAATTTTCTGCCTGCATTTAATTGAACCAATATAGTTAGGCAACTACCTGATTTGTGGGTGCAGTCAGATATTTAGGAGGCTAAAATGCATGATTTTTACTCATAGTTACTTGCAGGTGCAAAACTGCACCCACAAAAATAGAAGCCATTTGAGGCCCATTTAAACATTTAGTTAAGTATGCCAGTATGTCAAATCTGCTGAAACTTTAGTATTACTTAGTGGTATAAATGCCATTCGTTCAGACCAAAAAGGGAATCACATTCAGAGTCTGCAGATGTTTCCTGGAATATCCACGTGTGCTTTGAATAAAAACCTCTCTTCCTGTGGTGGACTCAGAGGGTAATTCTACAAAGCAATTAAACTCCTGCGACTGGCCTGGATTGGCTGATTTGGGCTCATGGGGCTCAGGCTGTGGGGCTGTAAAATTGCTGTGCAAACATTTGTGCTTGGGCTGAAGCCTGAGCTCTGGGACCCAGGGACATCTACACACCAATTTTTACCTCTGCAGCCTGAGCCCCACAAACCTATATCGGTAGACCTGGGCCAGCTGCAGCTCTTTTATTCCAGAGTAGATGTACCCAGAATAATAATATCCTATCCTTCTGAGTGCAGCTGGGAAAAAAATTTCAGACAAATAGTTTATGTGCTGAAAAATGCAGTTCAGGTAGACTGAAATCTAGTCACAGATTTGTTGAATCATTTCAGCTCTAAATTTTTTTTCGGGCTGGATTCACAAGGACACTTAGGAGCTATTTGAGATGTTGATGAGAAAAGAGGGGCCCTGCTCCAATGCATATTTAATTATTTGTGCGAAGTAGAATAGCTTTAACAGGAGAGGCTGAGAGGAACCCACTCCAGAATAATCAATAGCCTGGGGGATAGGGCACTCAACCTGGCAGGGAGAGACCTGGATTCTAATCCCTAATTTAGATTAGGGATTCGAACCTGTATCTCACGCATCCCAGCTGAGTGCATACCCACTGGCTAAAGGTTATAAGTAGAGCTCCTTCTCCTCCTCCGGCCATTTTGTGACTCCAGCCCTTCATTTCCTTTGCTTTTATTTTTCAAAAGGATTAAAATGCCTTTATAAATTAAACACTTTATTTCTGGTTGGACAAAATATTTCATTCGACCAGAAAAAAAAATTCTGTTGATTTGTGTCAGTTTACCAAAAATTCTGAAATGTTTTGTTGCCATTCTGGTTGACTGATTTTTGTTTTCTTAACTGCCAATGAACTGAAAAATTAATTATTCATCCAGCTCTGCTCCTTAGTAAAGATGATGCTCCTCATTCTGGATTTGATAGGTGCTCAAGTACAATCACAGTTTTATTAACCATGGATTTTTCTTTCTCTCCTCTCCCTTTCTTCTGTAGAAATGGAATGTGAGTCAGACAAAGATTCGCATCATATCAACAATAATATTCATATTGTTTGGCTGTGTGCTGTTTGTTGCTCTTCCTGCTGTAATATTCAAGCATATAGAAGGCTGGAGCACATTAGATGCAATTTATTTTGTAGTTATCACTTTAACTACCATTGGATTTGGTGACTATGTTGCAGGTAAGATTTTGTCATGATTCTTTATCGCAACCTAAATCTGTAATATTTTTAATAGTTATACAGGATTTGCATTGTGATAATTAATATAACTATTGTTCATGTAACCATCAGAATGTAGATACTTTTGCTATTTCAATCGGAATCATTTGCATGAACAAGAACAAAAAACCTTGTTTTAACTTTGTAATACTTTTTTCTTACTTTAGACAAGTACAACATTATAATAATAAGTAAATTATTTCAGGTTGTTAAATATTTTGGTTTTTACACTGGAGTCATTTAAAAACAGCTCTGACAGTGGTGATCTTCTGCTCTCATTTGTCAAAATATTGTTTCAGAATTTGGTTTCAGCTGTACAAATATCCCTAGCTGTCATGCTCTCTCTTTTTCTGTGCTTTCTGTCTCCTGTGTTCACTTTCGCCCTGTATCTATTTGTGTGTGTGTGTGTATGTGATAGGCAGATTTGGCAGCACTGTGCTGGAGTTAAGGTTGTGTGGCACTTTCCATTACAAGACCCTGTTTTCAGTTGCTTATAACTTTGCCAAACTTTAACTGTTTGGGCTGAAAATGTCCATACTGAATGTCTGATTTTTTTTAATGAAAGTTTTAACTAAAACCCTGTAACCACTTTTCAAAATGAGGATAGAGAAAAATTATTTGTCCACGTTTAAAAAAAAAATCCTATAACTGTTTCTTTGAGAAGCTTTAATGCCTCCATGTTTTTTTAGCAGGGACTTGAAACATGGCAGGGAGGTTGTCCTGGTGTAAGGAATGTGTCTGTTCCTGTAAAAATCTGGCCAAATTATAGACTTTGAAAAGTCACAGTTCACATACGCTTGGTAAAAACTTGTTAGAGTTTGGGAGCTACATTTTTCTGAAGAGGTTTTTCTGTTGTGAGCATGCTCACAGCTCCCAAGTGCTGATTGGACTGCACGTGCACCATCCCCACAGAAAGAAAAGGAGTACTTGTGGCACCTTGGAGACTAACAAATTTATTTGAGCATAAGCTTTTGTGAGCTACAGCTCACTTCATGCATGCAGTGGAAAATCCCCACAGAGTGACTAAGCATGCTTCATCCAAGGCTGCAGGAACTGAGCAGGTCTTTCTCTGCAATTGCTGCTCCTAGCAGCTGGGATTTATTCAATGAGCATCATCTAGCCTGTGCACTGAATGAGGCAGAGACCCCGTGTAAAATATAGCATGTGATCCTGTAATTAAAGACTGTAGTATAATGCTTATGCCCAAGGGGGCTGAATTAAGGTTGCACTGGCAAACTTAATTGTGGCATTTCCTAATTTTTGAGTGCCTGACTGGAAAACTGTAATGTTCTTTTAACATAGTGTTTGTGTGACATACACATAAATATAAAATGTGAATGCATGTTATGTTTTATGTCTCTTGCTGTTTTTTCTCCCATATTCCTTTCTATGGTCTTTATGTTCTCTTCCTTTCCTCTGCTTGCTGTTCTGGCTGCAGGAGTAGACATTGGCTCAGAATTTGTGATTCCAGTGAGATTCACCTGCTGCTGGCTAGCACTATGTCAAAGCTGACACACTGCTTCAAAGCCAAAGCTTTGGGTGTTTTATATTATCTTGATGCAATCAGCAGTACATTAATGCAAGGCCTGGTTATATTTATAGTAGGGGCATAATGTGAAATGGCCCACTTGGCTATAACTGAAACATTGAGTACACATTAATCATTTCTTTCAATATAAATGTTTGTACATTTGTCTCTTCGTGGGCTCACTTGATATAATTTTGTTCCTGCACCGCACAGTATAATTAAAACTTGTATTTTACCAGAAAACACATTATCTTTCTGCAGAACATCCTGGCATGATTTTACTCAGTAATAGTTCATTTTATATACATTTTCATTTCACATTTCCACTATTAACATGAAACTATTGATTTTTATTTCCACTCAGATTAATGTGCAGAAGACTGGTATTTATATAGTAATGTAGTCAATGCGTGTACCACATAACTGCTTGCCTTTGTGTCCTGGGTCCTGTACTGGTAATGGTGATTTTCAAGTTGTAAGGGCCCGTGGTTTCAGAGGAAGAGCATCAAACTTCTATCTCTGTTGTAGCTGTGACACTCAGAATGGTTGCGACAGATCTGAAGTTGGCTGCTGATTTGTTAAACTTTATCCTTGGTTTGTGAGTTAGTTTATTTTGCATCAGCAGCAGGTGTCTGGAATATTTTGCAAAGATCAGTTCATTTCTCCATAATTCTAAACATATAGCTAACTTAATGCTTAGGTTTCTTTATTAGATATGAGAAAGCATACAGAACGTTTGCAAGTTAGCTACTTAATAGGGATCATGTACTGTATTAAGATTGAAGTTTTGCTAAGTCACTGTAGCATGGCTTTCTCCTTTTTCTATTTAGCTCTGCTGAAGTAGTGGGTAAATCCTGTATGCTTTTGAGACAGTAGTGTGCATCAGCTGAATAAAATCTCCTAGTTTGTTGGAGCTGTAAAATGTGAAATGATGCCTAGTTTTGTATTTATTACAGTTGCGTCATGCGGCAGGTAAAAATGGAGCTGTAGTCCAGGTCTTAGTGCATAGGTGTCTTACAGCTGAAAAATTCATTTACGACTGGCACTGCTGCCGTCTCAGAAGTGAGGGCCAAGTTTTAATTGAGTCTGAAGTAGCCTCCCTCCTCTCCGTTTTAGGGTATGTCTCCAGTGTAGCTGGGAGCATGCTTCCCAGCATTGGTGGACAAACACATGCTAGGTTCTGCTTGAGCTAGTGTGCTTAAAAATAGCAGTGTGGCTTTGTTGGCACGGCCAGTGGCTCAGGCTAGCTGCCTGAATATAAGCCCACCTGACCCTCTGGGTACCTGCTTGGATGGCTAGCCCAAGCGCTTCCCGTGCCACCGCTGCCACACTGCTATTTTTAGTGTGCTGGCATGAGCAGAGCTAGCATGTGTCTGTCTATCTGCTCTGGGAAGCACTCCCAGCTGCAGTGTAGCCATACGTTAGGGATGATCTTTCCAGGTCAGAACTAAGGTACGCTGGTTGGGCACTGTGGTGTAGCTTGCCACTTCCACTGCCTGAATAGTGCCCGTTTTGTGCCTAAAGAGAAGAGGCAAGTCCCCAGACTGGCATCTTACACCTGCCCAGACCTCACTACTTTTTAAAGAGAGGAGCTTTGCAGAAAACAAGACATGAAGAGGCTGAGAAAAGTAAGGAGGAGACTTGAATCCTTAGGGAGACAAGAGAGAGAGATTGAGTGTGTATTGGAGTAGCTGGGACAAGGAAGGGAGCAAACAGAAGAATTTGGACATAGAGAAAAGTAATGAAACTGAAAGGCTGTAATGGAGGCTGCCTTGGTAGAAATTCCAGTAGATGCAGAGGTGAAAGTAAGCCAGTATGGTCCGGTACGGCGTACCGGCAAGAGCCAGTACGCCGTGCCAGACCGGACCAGCTTCCCCAGGTGGGCGCTTTAAAGGGCCTGGGGCTCTGGCCGCTGTGGGGAGCCCCGGGCCCTTTAAAGCCTCCCACCCCCCACTGCCAGAGCCCCGGGTAGTGGCGGCAGGGCTCCAGCCGTGCTTTAAAGGGCCTGGGGCTTCAGCCGCTGCAGGGAGCACCAGGCCCTTTAAAGCACCCCCCCGAACCCCCAGGGCTCCCCGCAGCAGCCGGAGCCTCTGGGCCCTTGAAAGCGCCACCTGAGCCCCCCTGCCGGAGCCCTGGGGTAGCAGCAGCAGGGCTCCAGCGGTGATTTAAAGGGCCTGGAGTTCCATTCCGGTAGCCTCAGCCAGAGCCTGGGGCCTTTTAAATCGCCCCAGTCCTCCCAGCTGCCTCTGCAGCCGGTAGCTCCAGAGGTGATTTAAAGGCCCCAGGGCTCCCAGCCACAGTCGGAGCCCTGGGGTCTTTAAATCTTGATTTAAAGGGCCTGGGTATTTAAAGGCCCAGCCTCTTCCAGTCAAGGCCCCGCCTCTTCCAGTCGAGGCCACACCCCCCCCGCTCAGGACTCCAGAGAACCGGTAAGTCCTTTAAGTTACTTTCACCCCTGAGTAGATGCCACTAGACTCTTTCTCCTTGTCTCTGTTGATTTCTGTTCGAGACTCAGTATTCCCAGGAAGCAGTAGACTAACAGATCTTTATTATATCCAAAACCTAGTTGCCATTTGGAACCAGTGGAAACTTTCAGTGGCTAGTTCCACTAGAGTAGGATATGTTAAAGCAACCATAGAGGATTGCAGTGTCCCAGGATGGGAAAAAAGGGGTGAGAGAGATGGAGAGAGAGTTCTTTTGTTATATGTCCAAGAAAATAATTATATAATGTTCTTCCTGTGAAAGGATTTGATATTTTGATGTTCGAATTTGTGACAAAAACAAGTGTCAAAATATTGTATTTTGCCACGACACATAACAAAGTGACAAACTTTTCAAATGGAATATTACAGTACCTACTGAGGAAAATAAAAAGTGACTGGTAAAATGTGGCATTCCATTGATCTATATCCTGTATTTTGATTTCTAATGCTAAAGATTTTGTTTTCCTGAGTACTATAAAAATCAAACAAAATACCATGTAAACATAAATAATAGTTTTAACAAGATGTGTTGACCTCACCATTGAGTTATTTTATGTTGCATTTTATTCTCTCATTTTTCGTAAATTTATGTTTTACAAAGGTGTAAACCAGAGTTACTCCACTGATATAAACAGAATTGCGTGCTGTGCTTTGGTTGCTATGTAAATAAAAGTGTCTAATTAACATAGGTCTCGATTCTGCCACCTTTACTCACATGGTTTAGTATCTTACTACATGAGTAGTGTCCTTTATTCCAATGAGGCTACTTGTAGAGGAGGGCACTAATCAATATAGGTAAGCATGGCAGAATTAGGTAGTTGGTAGACCATCTAATTTGCAGGTCATGTCCCTGAGAAAGAAATAATTTCCATAACTGAACAAAGCTTTACAGCTGTAGTTCCTATTTGCGAAAATGAAGTAAGAGACAGGGCTTGTGGAATATCCTCTGT